GTACACGCGATCATATGCATATACATACGCACCAGATGCAGCTGATGCCAACTTGACCTCGCGCAACGTGCTCGTCGTTTCGCCGCGGCATGTGGTCTCAAGAGTTTGCACTCCTTTATACACGTCTTCTTATATCGCCGGGCGACGCTATCCTAATAATCTCTCATTCCTTTAACTGGCATGTTATCACCATCTTTCAAGCACTCTGGAGGATTAGTATACGGTGAGCACTACAGCATGCTTACTGGCTGGTAGGAGGGAATGGATCGTTATCGTGATCCGCTCCTTGAATCTTGACCTAAAACACCACCAAGTAGGGTGTGGCTCAGGTTCTTGGGGATTTCGACCTGAGCGAACTCGAAGGTCTCAGTGACCACGTCACGGCGCGTCTGGACGGGCTTAGGGTCAAACTGGGATTTCGTCACTCATAGGAGAAACGATCATCGTAACAGCAAGATTTGTTGAGATGAAGAATTAACTGATGTTGCTGGAGGTTTTCCGGCATGAGGCCTATAAACTCTCATCGCACTACCATTTTTTGACGCCCAACTGGACTTAATCCGGCGTAGCAATACCCAACTGTTGCCCTTAAATGTGGGCGTTGGAGCATTTCACTGCGAACAAAAGTTGTGACATTGGGCTGGCTACAGCACGGCCCTCCATCTGCAATGTAGCCCAGTTCTCTTGCCGCAGCAAGACTTAGTTTACAGAACCTGAACCACCACAACCTACCCAGCTGTGCTATAACTTTGACTGATCACTTGCATTTTTGTGCAAATTACAGCCTGCGAGGTGCTTGATGGGGTATGCAAAAATTAAAAGCTACAGAAAGTCTAGCTTTGTTGGCAGATCACTTGCCTTGGCTTTATGCGTTAGTGGCCAAGCCCAAGAAGGCGCATGCCCATGAACTGGGCTGAGGCAGGTTGGATCTTCTCATTTGCGTTTTTTGATCAATACCAGGCTTGTCCCAAGATATTGAACCCTAAAGCCTAAACCCTGAACCCTAAACGTTGAACCCTAAACCCTAAACCCTTAACATCTTCAGCCCTAAGCCATTCTATTCTGGCAGATTGTGAGGGGAAAGCAGCCCAGATCCCAGAGGATCCCAAGACGAACAAGATCACCGGCACGGTCGATGTTAACTCAGACGAGTGGGCGCCAAAGTATCACAGGATTTAGGGTTTTGGGCTTAACTTACGGGAGATCAGTATGGAATGAGGGAACATTAATCCTAAACCCGACCCTAAGCCCGAAGCCCTAAACCCTTAGCCTGTTACCATGGGGTCCACAACTACCCCCCACTATACTACCCCGCCTAGGTTCCCCCTTCGATTACGGTTATCTAGGAAAAAATTGCCTATTAAGGCTAACAACGGGGGAAGTAGAGCGGTCAGGGAAACCCATGAGAGAATATGTGGGGTATATATGAGGATTAGACAATTTGTAAACCAATTGCTAGCAAGGTAAGCAAGGGTCTGGAGCCCAGATCCTTCGTGGATCTCTCAGGCATGGGATGTTAGGGTCTTTATTAAGGTTAGTATGAGAAGATTATGGTGGGGAGGGCGGGGGGGAAGGGCTATTTGATAGGAATTGTGTTGCGAAACTGCCATGTCTTGAATGCTCTTGGGCAAGAGCATCATGAGCAGGACCATCCGGTATGAGTTTGTGATCTTAACGTTGGTGATCACAGTGGTGGTCATGAACGTCTACGTGGGTCTCTTGGGGGAACTGTATCACAAAGCAGAACGCCGGTGCAGGCGGATTGCCAGCCTTCTGGTGATTTTTGTTGTTTTGATTTTCACGGATTAGAATTTGTTCCTTCATTTCGTATATGTGTCTTTCCCCCAGAGAGTCCAGCTACCAAATCCTGGAGCACATTCAGGTGAGTCACTTTATCAACATGGGCTATGGAGGGTCTTTAAGTACTCCTCAAGTTTTCCATTCTATTGCACGACATTGGTGTTCTCCCTTACCTGGACCCCAGAAGTAGGTGAAATACTGGCCCAAAACCCCTAACAGTAGCCCAAAATCAAAAGGTCATTATTCTACCTACTTTTGGGGTTCAGGTACTTAGGTCTGCTTAGTTGATCTTGCGCAGGGCCACGGCAGGCCTGAATCGGGGAAACCTCTTCAGACCCAAATGAGGTATAGCCTACATTCCTTAAAGGGGGGTTATATAGGGAATTATATAGGGAACCACAAAAAGGGGTTATTAAGGATAAAGCTCAAATGATCGCAGGGTTCGTCACCTCACTGTAGCCACTCAAGGTGCAGGCACTAAGAACCTAGCCATTGAACTTTCTTAAGACTAGCTACCAAATGATCAAACAGAGAAGTGCTCGGGTCTAGATGCTTCCTTGTCCCTCTTCCACATCCTTGTGGTCATTTCGGGTTACCGTCTCTTGGCTTAAGGGTCTTGTATACAGTCACAGTACGCATAGCCAGCTTCCCTAAACCCAATAGACCCAACATCCATTGTTCTCCGCGATGCTTGCCGCATCCCACATGCCTAGGTCTACCTGGTCTCTAGCGATGTATCCCAAGCGTGGTACTATTCGTCCCATACAGTAGGTTATATAAGGTAGTGGGAACTACTACAAGGGTTATTAAGGGGAATACTAGCAGTTTAGACTATGGCTCAGTTGGTCCTGAAAACCCATTCCCCCCTCCCTACTTAACCAAACCTTCTTGCAGGCAGCTCTACAACAACTATCGTGCCTCGTGCGCGTACCGCCACATGTGTGAGCGGCATGCCTTCTTAAAAATCGCCTGCTATATCTGCAGCAGCTCCGACAAGGAGAAGAAGCAGGTGCCTAAACGTTTGTACTTAGGGTTCAGGATTTTCGGCTTTGGGGGTTTGGGTTACTCTGGGCTTGGAGTTTGAGGGTTTCGGGCGTCAGGGTTACACCGCAAGGATCAGTGTGATCGTTGGCTTTTTGGCTCTGTGTGCAGTATGTGCATCTGCTCAGTTTTCTGGGGCATACTGCGTTATTATAAGTTATTTTGTAAACCCTAGACCTCAAACAGCCTCAAACCCTAGACCCTCAACCCGCTAAAGCTTCGACCGTAGAACAAGGTTTATGCAAGTCTTGGCGGGATTCAGAACGGAGAGTTGAACAGATCTCTCAGCTGGCAGCACTCAGAAAACAGAGAGGGTATCGCCATTTTGCCAGACTGGTGTTGGATTCTGTTCCATTCCCAGAGAGCCCAATACCTTAAGGATTATACCCTAAATGGTACTAGGGTCCATCATATGATTTATGCCATATTCTTTAATTAAGGGTTTTGGGCACCTTGGGTTGTTTGTTTTTGATTCAGAATGGCCAAGCGGATAGAGTCCTAGATGATGTTCGTTCTTTACATCAAAGCCTGTCCGTGTTCTTATCAGTTTAGATCCAGTCCCTGTTCTAAGATCATTTTCCGGGACTTGTTAAGGTCGGGCGTTACCACTCACGAAGCCCCAGGCCCAGATCCTGCAGTACGAAAGGAGGTTGTATGGCCTTGTCCATGGGTTCCACTTCTACCATTCCCGCATGTCAACTCCTTCCTTTAAGATGAACCCTAATCCGCAAGTAACTTTAATGAAGGGGACCCAAGGGGGCACGAGAGACTTATGCACAAATTCTCGAGAAGGTCTTATACGCTGGAGCTGTTTGAAGTCCTGAGCTATCAAACATACTGGACGGAAAATGCCACAGGCTTCCCAATCACCGTTGAACTTGCTTTTCAATATAGGGGTTATATAGGGCAACATTATATTATATAGAGATAATGGCAAAGAAAATTCAAGCTACTATAATGGGTTTAGGGTAAACCCTGATGCTTGCCAGGTGGGACTTTATTGGCTCAGCTACAGCAAGTCACGGCTGCTTGACGAAGACGACGGCGACGACTGAGTGGTGAGGGTTTAGGGTTTGCGAGGTTTAGGGCTTAGGGTTTTCGGCGGTGTAGGGTTGAAAGGTGTAGAGGGTTTAGGGTTTATGCTTTAGGGTCAGGGCCTGAGGGCCTAAAGAATCATGCGCTTAATTGAGGGTTTAGGGTTTACATAACTACCAATATGATGGTTCTAGAGGTTCCTTGTACAAGTATGGCAAAGTGTACTTCAAATAGACCTCCAAAGGATGTTGGTAATTATCCAGGCCCTGACATTAGGGCCTCTGAAGCCGGAAGCTGGCTTTTGCCGGGGAAATGTTGACTTCCACGGGAGGCTGAGGTGGAAGTTCGGAATATGATGGGTTCGGTTCGAGATTTAGGGTTTGAAGGTTTAGGGCTTCGGGGTTAGGGGATTAGGGTTTAGGATAAAATGTGTCGAAGAATACAAAAAAGTGTTCAGGTAGGCCTCCGCGCAAAACACCTTGCGCGATGCCTCAGGAGCCACTGCTTCAGGAGCCCGGAAGCACATTGCTCTTCCCAGTATTCGCCAGCATGTTTTTTGAACATAATTAGACAGGATGATTGTCCTTCCTATTCTCATTGCTGCTCCTTTTAAATCATTACGCTATGAAGTTTGTGGCTAATAAGGGAGGTCGACCCTATACCCCAAACCCTGCTGGAATTAGACTTCGGGACTGAAGAACAGCTAGGCATGAGATAAGCTGCCCTTGTGCTTAGTTAGTTGGGAATTTAGGAGCAGAGCATGGGCAACATGGAGGGGTTGTTGTAGAAACCAGCTAGGGGCTCAAGTTCTTGGATACCGAGGGAAGGATGTCCATTCTCTTGCAGAACAACAGGACTCTTAAAACGTACCCCTAGCTCCTGATTGTTCCTACTAGCAAGTTGGGGGCTTGGCCTATGCAAGCCCCATATGCAGTTCACAGGCCGAAAGACCTACGCATGACGTTGACTTGCAATTTCGTGGGCTTCGGCGGACATAAGGGCTCACTATGTGGCAGTAGCATTTAGAAACTTAACTTAACATGATTCTAATATCCAAGACTGTACTTACTGGGAGGTCGTGGCTGAAGGCTTGAGGCTGCAGATTTCGGAGTGTCCAGATGCTCAGGGAAGGTTTGCTTGCGGTCAGAATCCAAAAGGACGCGCTGACGAATTCACAGGCCTGGGTTCCGCCCTAGGCAGCATCAGGTAGCAGGATGATCTTGTGACCGCCCCCTGAAACTGAAAATCCCTTGCTGACAAGCGCTCTGCCAGAAAAGATGCCGTGGCCAAGAGCAGGAAAGCTACCAGCTGCTAATCCTTTATGTGTGAGATTCTGCAGCTGGAAATCGTGAATCTCCGGGTGAAGCCGAAGAACAACTCTGCATGCTTCGAAGAACTTCGGACGACATGGCATCTTGGCCCGATGAAAAAAATTAATCGTTGCCTCCAGTAAATGGCGCTCAACAACTGGTAGCTCGATGCCGTTCTGGACATGGCGCGCCTGACAGTGGACAGGCAAAACTTCGAAGAGCAATGCGTATTTCTACACAATTTGACCTATCTCGCCCGCGCCAAGACAATTAACGTGCTCAGGGTGAAGAACAAATATTCGCATCTGGACAGAAGGTGGCTGGTGTGATGTGGTGATCAACTTTGCCACGGAACGTCACGTGTGCGAGTTGCAGGTGACACACCACAAGTTCGCGTCACTGCGGAGGGAAGTTGGGCCACTCAGATTACTCCCGCTACTGCGCAGCAGCGGCAATCCTGGAGTGCCGTTCGCGGCCTTGATGGCTTTAACTCTAACATCGCTTTGCTTTCCGAGTTTCGCCCTGGAGGACGCTGCGGGCAATCCGTCAAACAACTTTGCGTTATGCGGGATGCTTGCTATGTGTTTTCAGCTCCTCCATGGCACAGGGAAGGCACAGAATCATGGATTGCACCCATCCATTTAAGATTGAAAAACACAACAGGCCTGCATTGAGGTTCTCGAACACCCCAGGCAGCTTCTTGTAAAACTCTTCTAGCGCTCCAATACGTTTGAGGGCTGAGGGCTGAGGGGGTTTAACTTTCAGCTGCGCGAGCTCTGGAGCGGTGATGGCTATGGATTGATCTTCCTCATGTCTGGTTAGGAGTGGGAAATGAGTCCATATAGTGATCTCCTCGCCCAAACAATAAACTTCCCCCTGTAATGTGGCACTGTTGTATATTAGGGTGAGTATTTAGTATTAGGGGTGCGTGGGGGGTGTTTCCTGTCAGGGGTGGAGGGCTAGGTCCAGTTACTTCCTACAAGAGTTTGTATCATCCATTCCCACATTCCCTACCCATCATGAGAATGCCAGATATCAAGTATCTGGGCGCCAAAGCTGTGTCCGCCGGCCTAACCTCCTGAGACTTCAAGAAACTTTGGGTTTAGGATTTAAGGGTTTAAGGTTCCTTCAGCCATTTTAGGAGTGTGACCAACAGGGCCATGTTTTTCATAACTTGGGCCCTCATAGGAGCCCCTCTATTCTCCCCAACATGCACAAATTCTTCTCCATGCCTTCATCCCTTGCCAACCAGCAAAAGAGGGTTAGTGCTAGCGGTCCTATAATTACCGGCAGTTAGTTTCGCAGCTACAGAATGTGATGATCCAGGGTTTCCCATTGCCTCCATAAGAACCCCCCCCCATTTTTCAGGCCATCCTGACCTTAGATTAGAAGCCAAGGACCCTTGGACGTGTAAATTGTCAGTCTTGCAGTTGGAGGGTTTTCACTGGCGGCTCGGCATGGACTGATGTTTTGCATGTGCTTCGTCCGGCTGCAAAGTAGCTGGATTGTGGCATCCCATGTCAGGGAATGGAGGCAGTATGGACTTGGATCCTCTGCATGCAAGTTACCGGGCACAAAACATGGGTTGGACTTCATTGAGGCTCATTAGGGTTTAAGGTAGAGCATCAAATGAAAAAATAAAATAGAAATGAAATGGAAACTACTATTTGCCATTTGGTGTTTAGTTTAGGGCTCAGAGCCTTTAGTAAAATGTGCTACACCAGGCATGGGTGGCGCCTTAGCTCGCAGCTGCCGTTTCGACTCAATTTGCTTTGCCCACGAAGATAGGCATATGCTTCACTGTTCGGATAGGTTTCTGACTGACGTTAAGCTTTGGGGTTAGGGGTTTAGGGTTTCACCACCACCACCAGCCCCGCCACCACCACGTCCCCCACCACTATCATCACCCCCAGCGCATTCTTCAAGCTTCGAATTGCCACAACATGTCGTTGCGTTGGGTCAAGCTCCAATAATATCTGCTTCTTGATTTGTCGAGTTCAAAATGCTCATTGGCAGCTTGTAAAGGTTGTTATATTGAGTACTGTCATCATATGGGTTAATTCATGGAAACCCAAATGCGAAATAACATGGAAGTGAAATGCAAACTGGGATTCTACATCGGTTTATAGGGATTATAGCTTTCAACAATTCCTTTTCTGGATCTACCCATTTATAGAAACTGCCACTTACATAGATTTACATAGATGAACTCCTCCCCGACGCCTTCTTTTGAGCTAGATACCTCGAGACCATTGGATTTTTTGACAGTCCTTTTCCGATCACCGAAAAATTGAAGACACTGCAAGCCGTCTTTTTTTTGGGTTTAGGGTTGGAGTTTGACTCCTGGGGTCAAAAACTACACAAGTATAAAGGTTGTATGCGGGTGTGATGGGGACATTGTCCCAATAATGGAGACTCCACTGGAAGGGGAAATGGAAAATGACAATGGGGTTCTATACTGTTTAGAGGGAATAAATAGGCTTTCCAACATTAGCAGTCTTTTGTTTTTGGGGGGGGGCAGATTGAGGATAATAATTCGTTTTTGGTGCCTACATTGGGGTTCACTTGTTTAGGGAAGCTACTAAATGCATTTGGCTGACCGCTATGGCTCGAAAAGTCCGTCCGTGACTATTAATTTTCGTTGCCGTTAGGGCACCATGATTGAAGCAATGAAGCGTCCTGCTTCACGCACATGGAGGTGACTTTGTCTCCAAATAGAACACCCGCAGAAAGACTTGCATGTTTGGTCCTACGCGCCGCAAGAAAAAAGCCCTGATAAACAGAATCAAAGCGCGCAAAAAAAAAAGACCTTTGATTCTGAACTATGGGGGAGTAGGATTCAGCACAACTGCCTATCCTAAGCGTTGTAAGGGTTGCAAGCATAGCATGCTGGAGTGCATGTGGTCTTCGGACCACCCTAAACCCTAAACCCAGGCACTTCTCCTTGTTGCTGCTGCTGGCGCTCATCAATGAAGCAATGACCTTCAAGGCCTGATCTGGCCCAAGACCCTAAGCCCAAAATCCTGTCAAAGATCTCCGAACCGCAGAACCCCAAAGCCCTAAAATCTAAACTTTAAACTCTAAACCCTAAAGCCCCAGATCCCCAAAGCCCTGAGCCCGAAGCCCTAAATCTTAAACCCCGAAATCTTAAACCATTTGTGAAGGTCACATCAGGCCCAAGTTTTATCCAGTCCAATGAATCTTCTGCAGCCGAAGATGAGGCCGAGTTTTTTCCTAAGGAGTTGATTGCATTCATGGTGGGTTACAGCGTTTCAGGGTTTGGGGTCTAGGATTTCGGGTGTGTGGTGTTTAAATTTCCGGGTTACGGTTTTAGGGTGTTGAAGCTCGAAACTCCGCACATTTGTGTTTAAGGTTTAGAGAGTGTCGAGCGGAGAACCTCACTTATTGTTGTCCCTTTCAGACGCTGGCGGTGTCAGAAGTGCCAACGGTCGCAGGGAATGGGCACCCCTGACGTTCGCCAATTTTTGCATTTGACTTGGTCTACAAGACCTCAGAGGAAGTCGCAGCCAGTACAGCTTCAACACATGTGCGACTTGATATTCTCTGTGGCAGTACGAGCTTGCTACGGATCGTTCGCTTGATGAGCGGCAGGAGTTTCCAATCTTTCCTTTCTTTTAACCTCCAGGTTGATACTCCCCCATTGCCTCTTGCAAAGCCGCTATCCAGTGGCTGATTTTC